ATATGTAGCTGTCTCTATTCGAAGAAAAAAAAGATTTATCTTCAACAGCAATTCATGACAACAGTTTTTTCATAGTTTTTTAAAAAATTTTTGAAGTAATTTGCACAAAATTGCAAAATTAAAGCAGCTAAGCATTGGGGTGAGGCTACAAAGTTAAGTTTTATAAATATAAAAGGCTACTCTCAAATACAAATTACCAACAAGTTGAACAGCAACAAAGGAAGTTAGAAACTGGTGCAAATGTTAACGGAAAAAGAACTGGAGCACCAAAAGTGACAATTGCTGTTGAAGATAAACACTTGGTTATTGAGAACAAAACAAATAGAAGGAAAACTGCTCCAGAGTTGACAAATGAAATTAATTTTTTTTGACAGCAACCTATGCCGCTCTCAACAGTGAAAAATCGACTTAGATCAGCAGGGCTCAGTGGGGTGCATTGCCATCAATAAACTCCTGTTATAGAAGGTGAATATGCAGAAATGACTTATTGACAAAAAAGCATGAGAACAGAACTTTGAAAGAATAGCAAAATGTATTGTGGACAGACGTGTCCAAATTTGAATCTTTTATTAGTAAGAGGAGAGAGTATGTAAAAAGAAAGGCAAGAGAAAGACTGAGTGATGAATGTGTGGTTTCAACAGTTAAGCATGCTGGTGGGTCTGTTATGTGTGTGGGTGTTTTGGGGAAGAGAGATCTGGAGATTGGATTCAGATGAAGGGTATCACGAAAAAAGAACAATATCATTCGATTTTACAAAGACATGCTATACTATCTGCTTTATGTAGAAATGGAAAAAAATCTTTCAACAAGACAACGATGCAAAACTCTTCTAAATTACCTTGAGTCAAAAGAAAGCAATAAAATTTTGGAAATTATACTTGGTCGACTAATTCGCCTGACCTCTCTTCCACTAAATTAGTATGGGATGAATTGGATAGGAGAGTTCGAAGAGAATATCCAAAGAGTGAGAGTAAGCTTTTTCCGTTGGAAAGAATGCCAAGAATTTGTGAAGCAATAATTAAGGCAGGCGGTGGTTTTATTAACAAAAACAAAATATGATACTGTTGTATGAAAGTTTTTCTTTAATAGTTAAGGGATTATTTTTGTCAAAATAAAAGCAAATACAATGTAGTTACTGAAATTTTATCTGCTACATTTTAAAGATATTTCATTTTAAGGTGGCCCCAAACATTTTGACGGTACTATATATATATATATATATATATATATATATATATATATATATATATATATCAAATTAAAAAGGAAGAACAGTCAGATATATTCTCTACAGTTCTTTAGCATTTATTTTTAAAACCAGTGCTGGATACGCAGTAGAGCATAATATTATGATTATATTTTGCGATCCTCAGGCAAATTGTATATATTGACAACGTGTTTCGCTTCTGTCAGGTAGTTAGATAGGCGTTGTCAGGACAGAATAAAAGACAAATATGACTCTGTGGGTGGGGAACCTATATTAAAACTGTTGATGTCTGTTTGTTAGGTTAGCATTTTCCACTGTCTCAATTCTCAACTTTTGTTTGGAGACTGTATCCTCTCAATCCCTCTCTCTTTTACACAGTCTATGTACAGGAAAGAAGGGCACCTCGAGGCGGTGTAATGGTTAGCAAGCTTGTTTCGCCAGAACAATTAAGACTGCTCTTACACCTGGTATATATATATATATATATATATATATATATATATATATATACCTTGATCTACCCACTATCCTTCTCCTCATTCTTTCTCCTATCACACCTATCTGCTCTCGCTCCAAATCATCCGCTACCCCCTGCATCCTAGTTTCTTCACGCCTTGCTTGGGGCGTAATGCTTAAATATATATATATATATATATACCTAGTATATATATATATATATATATATATATATATATATATATATACTAGTATATATATATATATATATATATATATATGTGAAGAAAAATATACGGAAAAAAAACAAACAAAAATCCTAATATGCAATTATGCTGTTTTAATGTTAATATAATGTCAACGTCGGACGTTTCGGTCTAAGAGACCATCTTCAGGACATATTCATAAAACATAATTAACATTAGACCATATTCAATTCAACATGAAAAAGACGATGGACATAAAAGCAATACTAATCCAAACAGATAACTGAAATCTTTTATAAGATCAGCGTTCCGTTTAAATATGATCACGTCGTCGTCACGTGGGCGATGTTGTGAAAACGTATTCCTAAAATTTGAGTATTTTGAATGAAAAACGAAAAGAATTTTATTTTGATCTAAAACTTATATGTACGTTTATATGTACGTTTGTCGAGCATTAATCTTGCTAGAAAAGGGGAAATATTAAAGAAACCAGGTCTAGTGTTCACCGTGCGTGAGATAGATTATGCCTGCTTCATTAATTAGCCTAAGATTTTTATTATGAAAATATTTTAAAATCTTCACAGAATCAAAATCGAAATTATCTTGCTCTTATGTCCATCGTCCGACGTTGGCATTATATTAACATTAAAACAGCATAATTGCATATTAGGATTTTTGTTTGTTTTTTTTTCCGTATATTTTTCTTCATATTGTCGGATCTATATCCATATATTTGCTTACATATATATATATATATATATATATATATATATATATATATATATATATATACCAGGTGTAAGAGAAAAATTGTCTAATTCGTGTAACAGCATATGATAATTGTCCATCCCATAAAGGTTTAATATCAAAAAAGAAAAACACTAAACTAATTGACTTACTTTTTTCCAGGTTTTCATATCGGACGTTTAGCCATCTTGACACACATATGTCGTAAGAATCACTTAAAAACTCTGAGTTATTCACCTAGAAAGAGAACTGGTTAAAATCGTTTTGTGTCAGCCTCACTGTCTTCCCAAATGAGCAATGGTAAGAGGAAAAATAATTCAGGCCTTCAGTAATGGTACCAACATTCATACTCCGGTTTCCGTCTTCAAAGTGAATTCAACAAACATCCAGAAAACGGTGAATAAGTTTAAAAAAGAGGGAACACTAGAGAGGGAAATTAGACCAGGAGGTCACAACAGGAATAGGGATCATCATTCCAACTTAGAACGAAAGAGATATTATAGAAAAGATCCAACAACCCATAAGACGCTTGGCAATTGAGAGAGAGGAGTTTCAGCTATGACAGTTCAAAGAGCAGTGAAAAATGACTTGAAAATGAAATTGTACATGAAATGTGTGAGGCACCTTGTTATCCAGGACAGAAAATTAGAAGGTTAGAGAGGGTGAAGATCATCTTGAATAAGTTGGAAAATGATCGTGGAAAATGATATACATTTTATAAATAACTTTATTTTAACCCTTCATGAGCTTCCGATACTTAGCTATGATTAATTAATGATGAACGTATCATTTTCGTTTCTGATCGATTTCATCACGATACTTCTGTTAGGCTTAGAGAGTAATTATACAGTCTTATTTCTCAAAGTAGAGTCCAATAGTGTTATAAAAACCTCGGAGAATTCCAGTAAGATATCTTTAATCATTTTTAAGGTACAAAGGTTCAAAGCTTAATCTAATAAATGGACAATTTTGCTGTTACGCTCGGCATATCAACATACGTTAAAAACATTGACCGAACAGTTAGCATTAATGTCAGTTGAAATTTATAATTTTTTTTCTTAAAACACATTTCTCTTCTTAATTGCCGTTTTTCCCAGGGGTGTGGTAACACCTGTTAGGGTCCCAGCTATAGGCAAATAGTGAACACCTAAACAAAAAGAAAACACCATGAAAGCGTAAAAATACCTTTTTTTTTTAGTAAAAATACGAGCAATACATTTTTATATAAAAAATTACAAGCAATATACATTTATAGTAAAAGTACCAACAATACGCACATATTAACAAATTGTAATGACTTCACCCAAATCCGTTTAAAATACGACCAAACAACTAACATGAAAGAACTCTTTCATGATATTAATCCATATAATATCCTACAATTTCTTAAATCAAACTATATTCCAAAATATAACTCCGACAAAACTACAACATAAAACACATACATCATCGCCGCTATTAATCATGTCCACACAAACATGTATCTGCAAAAAAGTTGAGTATCATCTACCATGTGTTCAATTGCGAAAGCAGAATAACATTGATCCTAGTTTTATTACTTCCAAGCTCCGAAGAAAAGTAAATTTCGGCATTAAATGACCCATGAGGAGTTGATATGCCGTTAAGCAGAAAAAAACAATCATTCACTCAAAACACATTTGAGGAAAATAGGTTTTGCAAATCCACTAACTGTTATCGCTCTTTCTAGTATTGATGCGGTTAAAGCGTTGAAACAGCGGTTCTTGTATGATCCCTGAGCTCTTAATTGCTGTTGTTCCCAGGTCCACCCTAAACTGTGGTGGTAGCACCAGTTTGGGTCCCGGCCATAAGCAAATAATGAACCTCCCCAAACAAAATCAAAACATCATGAAAGTATAAAAATAGTAAAAATATCAACAATACATTTTATATAAAAATTACCAATAATACATATTTATAGGCACATATTAACAAACTGTAGAGACTTCACCGAAATTCGTTTAAAATACAGTCAAACAAACAAAGCACTTTCATGATATTAATCCATATAATATCCTAGAATTTATTAAATCAAACTATATTCCAAAATATAAATTCAATAAAACAATACAAAACACACATCACAGCCTCTAGGAATCAAACCCACACAAACGTTTATATGCACAAAAGCTGAGTATCATCTACCATGTATTCAACTGTGAAAGTAGAATAACTGCAATCATATTTTTATTACTTCCAAGCTCCGAAGAAAATTAAATTTCGGCATGAAATGACCCATAAGGTGTTGATATGTCGTTAAACAGACAAACCATTCAATCAATCAAAATGAATTCCAGGAAAATAAGTTTCGCAAGTCAACTAACTCTTATCGCTTCTTCTACTGTTGATGCGGTTGAAACCGTGAAACCTCGTACGATCACTGAAGTTAAGCAACGTCGAGCTTCGTCAGTACTTACATGGGTGTCCGCTTAGGAATACCAGCTGCTGCAAGCTTGGATGTGCGGGTGGTGTAATGGATAACGGCTCGGAGTTGAAAATCGGAGTGCCGAGTTCTATTTCCAGTCAGGTCCGTTATATACATTTACGCGCAAAACACCTGAGATATATATGAGTCCACATCTTCTCCCTCAGCTATGGGTTAATCAGTACGACCTGTATCAGTAAATCATTATGTCGTACCCAAATCCTTATAATCTAAACATGTATTCTGGCATTAAATAACCTGAAAAAAGGTTATTAAGCCGTAAAAACAAATCAATCAATCTCGTATTGGTTGGAGTTTCTTTACTTTAAGACTGTGGAAAGTCAAAATCTTGATTATTTCCTTATAAAAAATCAATTAAAATAGATTAAAATAATATTTAATGAAAATTAAGATTAAAGTTAATAAAAAGTTATGGAATCATAATCAGGGTGATGCAGCAAAGTCGAAGAGTATGTCGACCGAAATGCTGTATTAAAACATTACTATTATTATAGTTATTATTATTATTATTATTAGTTGTAGTAGTAGTAGTAATAATAGTAAGAATTATCTCCCTGTTTAACCGAAATTCGGTCCTGTGTGAGCCGTGTTTGGGGCGGCTTAACAATTTGATCTTTGTATGACAGAATCTTCTACAGGTATGGCAGACGAAGCTGGAATGTGGAAAGAAGGCATGAGATTCCTCCCTCTGCTTTCTGCATTGTCTTCTGACCTCTAACTATGGTTTTCGTATTTTTCCTGTCTCTTCATGATTCCTTCTTGAACGTGATAAGTCCAGAGAGTAGGGATGGATAATAAAAAGACATACTTTGCTAAGCGATACGACGGATAAGAAGTTGTGGAGAGCCGTGATCCTGAGGGGACACGACACTTAGATGTAGAAGTCTGATAAATATTTGGCATCATCTTGTCTTCCGAGTGTTTATATCTTTGAAATCTTAATCCCCGTGATTTTTACATCAAGCAAATGTGAAAAAGAGGTGTCACTCGACAAGGTAAAGGCAACTAGATTTTCTCGTACAAAGCAGAACGTATCAACCCGTGGGCAAATCACTTAAATAAACCGTATCATGTCAGACCGCGTAGCCTGTGATGTGTGTTGCTTTTTGTAGGTGATTTTTGGCCTTGTCAGCCGCGTCAGTCTGGATCTTATGTAACTGTAGAAATGTAGAGATAAATTTCAAAGATGAATCATTATTGCTTACTTTCCAACTTTCGAAGACGTACGCACGTCCTCAAAATGTATCTCCAGCGAGAAAATACGAATAACGTTCTTTCACACTTTCAAGTGTCGTATACGCCCCGTGTATAAGTCGAGTTTTTAAAAGTAAAATGTTACTCTCCCAAATGAAAAAAAAAACTTCACCAGGCGACTTGTACCCGCGTAGAAATTAGTGATCCAGCCTTTTAGCCCATTACCGCTGTGTAGTGACTTCGATTCTTACTCGGCGCTCCAAAACTGCGGCCTCGTGCCAGACTAAGATAATATCTAGGCGACTCAATGAAAGATAGGCATGGGTCTGGTTTACACTTGAGTAAAAAAGGTACACATAGTAGTGGTTTTAAAATATGTTTTTAGGAAGAGAGGGTGTCACGTTTCTTATCCGGAATTGTATAAGGCGTATACATAAAAAACAAGACTCGAAACTCCAATGTGAAATTTGAAACAGACTAATATTTATTACAATGACATGAAAAAAAAACAACAAAAAAACAACAGAACAGAATACAAAAAAAAAAATCCTTTGTGCGCCTCATTACTATTTAGGCAAGATAATCAGTTCAAAAATTGAAATGTTAAGCCCATTGAATCTTATATAAAATTTTGAATAAAATTTTAACTTGCTTACATACTTGTAAAGACAAAAAATCTTTTGAGAAGGTTGGAAAATTAACCGCGTTGCCGGGAATTTAACAATAGTTCAGTTTTAAAAAACTACCTCTAATTTTAAGAATCATGTTCCTTTTTCTTTCTTTCAGTTTCTTTATCTTTCATTTTCTTTATTTTCTTCGTCTTTCTTTCTTTTTCTTTATTGTCGTTGGCGGTGGCAGCATTGTTGCTGTTGTCGTTGTTATTATCAGAAACAGTCCTCGGACATTCGCACGTGAACACCAAAATCCTTCTGAACAACTCGACTCATTAAATAATTTCAAACAGTCCCCAGACTCAAACTCAGTATTAAATTAGTGTAGACGGAAATTATATTACTCAGTGGTTAAAAAAACAAAATGGATCTTTTTCTGAAACTACGACACTTAACCGACTTTATTTGGTGTCTTTTTTTTCAGACCAAAGGACTGGCGCTTATTTTAATACGAATTTAAAAACTAAATTTTACACATCAAATTTATTCGAGCCATCTTTTATTAAACTCTCTCCCTAAGGAAAGTGCAATAAAAGTGTAATAAAAAATTTAGTTTATTGAATTTCAAAATTTTTTTCCTTTGATTATTTTCATATGGACTTACATTTCTTTTTTTATTATATATTTTTTTAATAATTTACACTATAATCAAAAAGACAGATAAAAGTCCGCTTTACACTAGAGTAAAAAAGAACACGAAAATTTCAGTAAAAAAATCTTTTTTACTGGCGTCAACGTACCACCATAAATTTATAAGGGAATTTTTAGTGACCTTTTGCGGTGAAAAACATTAAAATGGAAATTCTTGCAAAAATCAAATAATTATCGAATTTTAATGAAACTTCAAGGAATTATTCAGAAATTAATTAAATTATTTATGAAATGTTTCTCTTTTTTAGAAAATCTTGCTAACAATATTTTTTTTACATCTGTTACCCCCACCCATACCGCACTCAAATAATGAGAAATTCTTTTTGTATCACTTAATGTTTATAGTAGTTATAAGGACAAGTCCTGGGAGAATATAATCGTGTTATTTTTTTCTCAAACAGGACCCCCAGTTACAGAAAATCTGATTTGAACCGTAAAATAAATAAAAAAAAAAAAATGAAAGAAAACTAAGACATTATTTAATTAGAAAAGCTTTTAATTGCTTTTCTGAATACATTTAAATCTTTAAAATTCTGTATTTATTTGTAGCAGTAAAGTAATAATGTTACTAAATTAAAATTGTATTTACTAATAATAAATGGAAAAGCTCACTACAATTAAACGACTCCAAATATTTTAAAAAGAATTTTGAATCTATTTTGTGTGTATAAACGTGTCAATTTTTGCAAATACGTACGTCCATACATGGCATTTTATATATATTTGTTTAAAAATAAATTTGATATTTCATTTCATCATTTAATTTAAAGAAATGAAATATATATATTGGTTTAAAAATAGAGTTGATAATTCATTTCATCATTTAAGGCTTCATCCGATCCGAAAACGAAAGAATGAAATGTGTATATATGTATTTGTGTGTATGCTTAAATAATAAATCTTAGTACTTTTTTCCCCTAAGTTGGCGAGTCTCGTGATTAAAGAAGAAAGAAAATGAGTGACATTTAAAAAAGTCGTTAATATTTATTCTGGTATCTTTTCTTTACAATTCTTAGTTTGAGTCGAAAGTTGTTAATGTATTTTCCAAGTTTTTTGTATCGAATTAAAATAGAATTGATAATGCATTCCACTTAAGAAAAAAGCAGTAAGCATACCCACATTTAATTCTTTGGTTTTCGGATCTGATGAAACCTTAAATGGCGAAATGCATTATCAACTCTATTTTTAAACAAATATATATATATATATATATATATATATATATATATATATATATATATATATATATTATAATTACTTTTTTAAAAATATGATTCCATTGCGACAAAGAAATTACTATGTTTCGAAACTGGTCAGCAGTATTTAAGCTTAATTCCAATATCAAACCTTAACTACTGGGTGACAGTTTAATTCTCAAGCGTTGTTTTGGAATAACTATGGTACGGAATATTTTACTCATTTATAGTTTTGAAATGGAGGTATGGTATAGGGTTTGCTTTTTCTTTATCAAGGAGTCACTGCTTTGATGGAAGTGTTTGTGATATGTCAATCGCCCTTTGAATAATAAATGCCGCATAGAATCTGTGGTCCACCAATGCACAATCTCATCCATCGAGAGTCCAAATATTGAAAAGATATATATATATAGGATCCACGAAGAATGAATTTAAAATAAGATGGAGACTACACCAAAGCTCCTTCAATAATATTAGAAACATAAACCAAACATCCCTATCGAAGTATTTCTGACATTTAAAAAAAACAAATAAAACACCAAAAGTAAAATGAAAAATAATAAATAGAACAAGAATTTGTAAAACCTGGGATGACCCATGCCCTTTATGCCTACATAAAAAACTACACATTATTAGGTTTCTAAAAAACGATAATTTATTAAATCAAAGAAATGAAATAACGTTTTTTTGCCGACACCACCAAATATTCGCCTTAAACAATTAGCATTTTATAAAAAGAAAAAATTACAATTTCAAAATCTATTAACAAGTTCAATTAAAGCAATAGGTTTAAAAACACAACCCAATCATAATCTTAAAGTCTATTTAAGAAAAAACAAATAAATAAACACCAAAAACTACTGGAACTAAAACATCAATCAGTTAAAGTCTTAGCATACAGTAATAAAAAACAACAACCCCCCCCAAAAAAAACATCAGAACTACTACATTAATCAGTTTTAGCAGGGAGTCGGATAAGATTAGCCATTGTAGCCAGACAAAGAAAACCCAACCCAACCTTACACGACTCCATCACAAACACCCCTACTTCCATAAAAAGCAATTTTTAATTTTTGCCTGTGTGTATAAACGTGCTGATTTTTGTAAATACGGATGTCCATACAGAACATTATCATAAAATAAAAGCGGTACTATATTAAATTTATTGGTAAATTTACAATTTATTGGTAATTTTCTAACGTTTCTTCAACAAACGTCTTCAAAGTACTTAAAATTCAATAAAGTATTAAAATGTTTTTAAATATTTTAATTTTTACTGGGTAGTTAAAAATGATCGAAAAAGGGCTTTTAGTTGGTAATGTAATTTTAGTACAAGTATTTCACAAATCAGTCTTCACGTTATAGACAAATCAGTGAACACTTCATACAAACACCCATATACATGTAAAAAACACTTTTCTGCGATATTTTAAACTAAAAGTAAGTAATATTTATTTTAATTTAGATTAAAGTTTAAATCAGTTAATGATCCCCAAATAAAGTTTAAGAATAGTAAATTTTATTTTAAAAAATCTTTTTAATAAAGAGAATTACTCTGTTTTTACAGATTTGTCGATATGGACAATGTTAGCGATTTAAAAAAATCATTCCAGTCAATTTAAATTCGGTTTAAAATTCATCAAAGAATTTTTCTTATTGGAAATATTAAAGTTAATCTACAGGGTGTTTCAAAAGTCTATGTCACATTCTAAGAACTCTTTAGGGTGTTTCAAAAGTCTATGTCACATTCTAAGAACTCTTTAGGGTGTTTCAAAAGTCTATGTCACATTCTAAGAACTTTTCAGGGTGTTTCAAAAGTCTATGTCACATTCTAAGAACTCTTTAGGGTGTTTCAAAAGTCTATGTCTAAGAACTCTTCAGGGTGTTTAAAAACTCACATTTAAGAACTCTTCAGGGTGTTTCAAAAGTCTATGTCACATTCTAAGAACTCTTCAGGGTGTTTCAAAAGTCTAACTTTTTAAGAACTCTTCATGGTGTTTCAAAAGTCTATGTCACATTCTAAGAACTGTTTCAAAAGTCTATGTCATTCTAAGAACTTCATGGTTTTCAAAAGTGTTTAAGAAAAGTCTATGTCACATTCTAAGAACTCTTCAGGGTGTTTCAAAAGTCTATGTCACATTCTAAGAACTCTTCAGGGTGTTTCAAAAGTCTATGTCTATTCTAAGAACTCTTCAGGGGGTTTCAAAAGTCTATGTCACATTCTAAGAACTCTTCAGGGTGTTTCAAAAGTCTATGTCACATTCTAAGAACTCTTCATGGTGTTTCAAAAAGTCTATGTCACATTCTAAGAACACTTCAGGGTGTTTCAAAAGTCTATGTCACATTCTAAGAACTCTTCATGGTGTTTCAAAAGTCTATGTCACATTCTAAGAACTCTTCAGGGTGTTTCAAAAGTCTATGTCACATTCTAAGAATCCTCAGGTGTTTTCAAAAGTCTATGTCACATTCAGGGTGTTTCAAAAGTCTAACTCTTTTCATGGTGTTTCAAAAGTCTATGTCATTCTAAGAACTCTTCTGGTGTTTCAAAAGTCTATGTCACATTCTAAGAACTCTTCAGGGTGTTTCAAAAGTCTATGTCACATTCTAAGAACTCTTCAGGGTGTTTCAAAAGTCTATGTCACATTCTAAGAACTCTTCAGGGTTTCAAAAGTCTATGTCACATTCTAAGAACTTCTTCAGGTGTTTCAAAATGTCACTTTTCAAAAGTCTATGTCACATTCTAAGAACTCTTCAGGGTGTTTCAAAGTCTATGTCACATTCTAAGAACTCTTCATGGTGTTTCAAAAAGTCTATGTCACATTCTAAGAACTCTTCATGGGTGTTTCAAAAGTCTATGTCACATTCTAAGAACTCTTCAGGGTGTTTCAAAGTCTATGTCACATTCTAAGAACTCTTCAGGGTGTTTCAAAAGTCTATGTTTCTAAGAACTCTTCAGGGGTTTCAAAAAGTCTATGTCACATTCTAAGAACTCTTCAGGGTGTTAGGGGTTTCAAAAGTCTATGTCACATTCTAAGAACTCTTCAGGGTGTTTCAAATGTCATGTCACATTCTAAGAACTCTTCTATGTCACATTCTAAGAACTTTCAAAGTTTCAAAGTCTATGTCACATTCTAAGAACTCTTCAGGGTGTTTCAAAAGTCTATGTCACATTCTAAGAACTCTTCATGGTGTTTCAAAAGTCTATGTCACATTCTAAGAAGTCTTCAGGGTGTTTCTAAAAGTCTATGTCACATTCTAAGAAGTCTTCATGGTGTTTCAAAAGTCTATGTCACATTCTAAGAACTCTTCAGGGTGTTTCAAAAGTCTATGTCACATTCTAAGAACTCTTCAGGGTGTTTCAAAAGTCTATGTCAC